AAAGACACAGTGTACCTGTATTTTGTGTGTCTGGTTCAACATCATTTTGAGGGCAGCCTATAAAAATAATTCTCAAAAAATACATTAATAAAATAGTAAGACACATACTCTGTTCAATTGGTTGTGAGGCCAATATATTGTGTTTAGCTCCTATAAAAATAATTATTATGTTACAAATCATAGGCACACTAGATTTTTAGGTTATACGATAATAACTAACTAATAGAATCAGCTGCTGCTCGGTTCATCTTTTCTACTGCATTGCATAACGTCGTCCAGTTTGCTCCTCCACGTTTATCAACATCATCTAATCTCATCAGCCATTTTGAAATACACTCCCTAAGATGGTCTACAGATGCCATGTTGTCCGATTTGATATTATTCAGTGTCCGATGATGCAGGCCTAATTCCAGACCAAGTTCAAAATAGCTTCCATCAGAAAAACCACCTCTCCTCAAATCATTTAATACTTCATGTAAATCTTTAGTTGTTAGGCTATAGCGTGATGCTATACAAACAAATTAATGATAAATATAGTTGTATAATTTATAGTTTTGTATCAAATGTAATAATAGCTATTTTGAATGAAAAAAAATTGGTAAAATTAACTTATGCATGGGGTGTAATTGTAGATTTTACAATTCGAGAACTCCTAAAATGGCTAGAAAATTTGGTGCAGTTAATTTTGGCAAATGAGCTTCATTAGGTAATTTTTCAATTTTCACAAAATACATAAGTACATGTACAAAGAAATTATTTTGCTATGTACTGTATAGCCAAAAATTTTCGTGAGGAATAAATTTTCGTACTTTCATGATCACTGTTCGCATCACAAAAAATTAAACCCCCAAAATAAATATTAATCAAAGGGCATGGTCAACCATCCCTTACATTACTATGGTGGGTGTGTGCATGCTCTCGTGTCTAAACAAGTCGTGTTCTCAGTCAAGTTGATGTCTCTGTATTGCTACTTTAAGCATAGTGGCAAGATCAAAGATGATCTCCCCAATTACTGGTGTCTACACTGTTTTGTAAGCATATGGTGCCCCCTGACACTGAGACAGAATAAAAGTCCCTCTCAAATGCTGCGTCTGCCATGATTTAATTAAAATGGGCGTGTTCAGTTGCTATTAAAATAAAATCATGATAATATTTTTCATGGAATTTAAAATTTTCCTATAAATTTCATTATTCACAAAATTTTAAGCCTTGGAAATTTTTGGCTATACGGTATTAATATTTCTGAGCCATCTATCTACAATAGTTAGTACATGTAAGTGTGCATTGTATTTTAGATGCTTATTACTAAAATATTCAGTTGTAGAAGTGGACCTACACCATCTGTATATATGGAAAGAGAGGCCTAAGATTCAGCCCTTAACCTATAAATCTAACTACATTAGATAAAGATACTTTGATTTTTCTAGCATAGTGCTACATGTACATGTATCTTTAATGTTTATGGATGAACTTGAGATTAATAATATTGCATCAGTCTGTAAAATACCATTTTGATGTTCTCTGTCAGACTGCCTGTTAGTAGCAGCAGCAGCGGTAGAGCTAGAGTCTAAATTAAATCAATAAATTACAAAAATCACGTAATACTATTGACTGACTTATTGATAGAAGAGGAGGTGATCTGTCGATGTAAATTATTATTGGAGGATCTATTCCAGTTAATTCAATGGGACAATGAAGTGGCTTTTTAGTAACACCAATTTCAGCATACACAGATACACTGCAGGTTGCATATGAAGGAGTTAATGGAAACTTTTCTACTCTTGACTGAAATAACTACACATGTACATGTACAAGAAAGGAAATACTTTAGGTAAAACTGACTCCTAGCTGGTACTTACTTTCATTGGATTTCTGGTAGGATTAACAGTCCATCCTGCCTGCTGTGTAGTGTGTAGTGTCAATTCAAGAGTTCTATTTGGTTGAATAAACTTAAATGAGTCAACAACATCATCATATTCAATACTTGATTTGTGCTTGCTTTCTAAATGCTACATGAACATAAAACAATAAACAATCAAATTTGCATGCGTTGGCATATATACATGTACATGTACATGTATACCTTACCCTTCTAAGAACTTCCAAATCTCTAACAACAGAATACATAGCTTTCCAATGACCGGCTTCTTTCTTATCATAGTAGATAATTCCAGAATATAATGTATCACGAGAAGCTGCTAAAAAGTGGGAATGTATATATTTGTAATAACATTGTAATATAATATAAAATACCATTATTGTCTGAAAGTGCAGTGGAATGATCAGTAGAGGATTGTAGTGATTCATCATCATTCCTTGCTGGACACTGTTCACTGGGTACAGTAGCTGTAGGCCCATCAGAATCACTTAGTGCATGATCTGACTGTTGTACTGTTGGTTCATCAGTAGTATGGGATCCTACCTCATGGACTAACTGAGAAGGATCATCATTAATTGAGTCTATAAGGTAAAACATAACATGCAGTATACATGATACAGTTACATACCATGAGGTGGTGTAGTACTTGTTGATGGAGTGGCTCCTCCTCCACTACTATTCTCTCCTGCTCCATTACTGCTATCATTAGGTGTGTCTCCGGGATCCT